CCAGTCGGTGGCTACAGCCTCGTCGTCCCAGATGGTTGAGGTCTCAGTGTCGCTGATGTAGCCTGGCTCTCCAGTGTAATGAGTGGGATAAATGAGCAGCGGCTCCACGGAAAACGCTTTCAGGTCCCTTGGCTTAAATTGTGACATGTATTCAGTGCTGTCAAGACACAAAGACAGAAAGAATTGGATTAAAATATAAGCTGACATGGTAGTAAAAATGTATTTTGAACTCCTGGTATGTTAATAAAAATTATTATTATGGTTTTGAAGGAAAACAGACCCAGTAGGTGGCAGTGGTTTGCAACTCAAATCTGCCAGTAAAGCTCAAGAAGAACTTAAGAACTCAAGGCTAAAGGAATTAGCGATGTTAGCCTAGCCTAGCTTTGATTTGAGAAAAACTTATGCACAATTAATTAAAAAACCTTAGTTCCATTTAGTTTAAAAATAAATTAAATACCACTAAAATTGGTTGTAGGTGATAAGCTCCACCTCAGAGCCCTGAGCCCTGGTCAGTAGTGGTGTGAGGGCAATGTGGCTGCCATTTGTATCAGCTCATTTCATACAATTGTGCTTCTCTAGCATGCAAATATTATATTTGATAGCACGCTACTAACACACTTTTGGGTTAAAAAAGACTTTAATTTGAATAAAACAAACTTCTCACGGTTAAATTTTTTAGGGATTTTAAATGAGTACTTTGTACTGTTTACAGGTCAGGAAGAGGGAGCTACATGCTCAATGCTGGCCAGTATGCTAACCACATATGCTAACCACTTACTCTATGCTAGTAATGGATACATTTTTTTATGTTTGGATTTTGTTAAAGCCCTTGAGCACTGGAGGAGACGTCAAACTTTTTATTCTACTTTTATTTACAACTCAGCTTCTCTACATAACTCATTGAATGAGTGAGTTACTACGTAGTGTTTTATACAATGTACGCGGAACACACATTTTCATGCATTTATGCGGCTACACACACACACACACATCCAGTGTCCATCTCAGCCCAACCCCCACGTTCATGGCTCTATCAATGGGGATCCTGTTCCCGTTCTCCTACCAGGAAGAGCTGAATAAATTCCTCAAAAAAGGGGACATGGAAGGGCGAAAAGTGGAAATGAATCTCTGCAGGAACGCAGAATTAGAATTGATAAATAAAATATAACACAGAATAGTGGAAATGAGACCAGCACACACAACGAGTGTAGGACATTTAGGGGAAGAAGGAAGACAAAATAAGAGATGGAGATAGAGGTGCAGGTAGAGGACAGTGGTG